ACTATTTCCAATATTCCAAATTATATTGATGTCAGTGCGACATTTCATACCTACTTGCTTTCAGGGTTTTTCATGAACAATGTTAATGACCAAACTAATTAATGAACTTAGGTCATTTGTAAAAGGAAAATAATATATACATATAATAAAATTGTAACCAAGCCGAATCTGTACATTACATATTTTTTGGAAAATCTAATTGAAATAGACATTATTATCGATACAGAGGTCGAATCTATAGTTTTTAGATTTTTTGTCTGTCTGTCTGTCTGAGAACGCATTATGAGAAAACCACTGGAAAGATTTTGGTGAAATTTGGTATGGCAATAGCTGGTTATCCATGTCAACATATAGGATACTTTTTACTGCGGCAAAATACTTACCTCATCTCTGCGAAATCTAAACTTAAAATGTAGGAACCAACCCGAGCGGAATGGGGGTGAGTCGCTAGTTTAGTATATAAAATCGTATGAGTATCAAATAGTTAATCATATAAATCTCTTTTGTTATTTCTAATTTCACTAATAATTTCTTCATTAACAGTTCTGAAACGTTCGAGTAATATATTTAATTCTTGTTTACTTTCTCTCGACAGAATACCCATTAGTTGAATAAACTTCACTAAAGATAATTCCTCTTCATTCGGACATAATCTTTTGTAGGAATGAACAAAAAAATCATTTTTTATAAAAATTCCGTCTATAATTTGACATTTATTGAACCATTTCTGAACGATTTCAAATTTGGCGCCATCGCTGTCGCTCGCGCCTCGTAGTGTCGTGTAGATATCTTCTAAATTCATTGTTTTTCTTTAATTCGTTGACACCAAAATTACTTTATAATATGAAGATAAGAACTTATAAACAGCAATTTAATGTTAGTGTTTTATTTCAGTGATTTGTTTATGTAAGTACGTGACCAATATGATGTAAATCTAGAAGGCTCATATTTAGTAACTATAAAAAAAATATAAGGTCTGTCTGTTTAAAATTATTATTTTTTAAACCCCGACGCAAAAACGACGGGGGGTTATAAGTTTGACGTGCCTGTGTGTGTCAGTTTGTGGCGTCGTAGCTCCCGAACGGATGAGATTTGATTGTTTTATTGTTTCAAAGGTGAATTAGTCGGGAGTGTTTTTAGCTATGTTTGATGAAAATCGGTCCAAGATGGCCGCCTTGGCCACACAAAATGGCGGATTACATACTTTTTCACAACTCATACAAAATGGATATCAAATGAAAGGGCTTGACTAGTAGAATACTATACAGCATGATAAATTTCAAATCGAAGATGGCCGCCACCACAAAATGGCGAATTACATGTCGGGGATTTTTTTTTAATTTTAAATTTCATTCATTTATAAACATATATGTATAAGTTGCATATATTTTTGTCATCGCCTAAACCTGTATTTTGATATCCCATTCGATTGATTCGAAAAAAAGTTTTTTTTCGTATAATGTTGTAGTGAGAGCCAGTGGTAACGCGCTCACTTGGAAAACCGAGTGAAGCCGGTTCAAATCTCGGGTCTCACACCTCTGATATTTTCATGTGCGAATCTTTTTCGACATGACGGCCACTTCTCTTACGGCGAAGGAAAACATCGTGAGGAAACCTGCATGTCTGAGAGAACCTGCAAGTTTTCAAAAGATGTGTTGTCCGCCAAACCGCACTTGGCCAGCGTGGAGTATAGCCTGATACCCCCTCGTAATGAAGGGAGGCCCGTGCCCAGCAGTGGGACGTTAACAAAGGCTGAATACAATCTTGTAGTAATTATTGTATCGTGTGTCAGCGCGGCACTATGTCATATTGCAATGATCACTGGCTACGAGTTAGTTCTTTAGAAATATTTGCACTGACAGATTTAATTTTGCGATTGTAAATAGTGGCTAAAGTATTACAATATGGCTTTTTCAAGGTAATTCCAGAAGACGTTAGGATTCATTAGGCAATTATCGAAAATACTTTAATATAAAACCTTAAATTATAAAAAAAGGAAATACGTGTTTGGTGTTTGCTGCAAAGATTTATGTATAATTCACCTAAAAAACTATAAAATTAATGAAAAATATTCTAAAAATCTCATAAATTTGTTAATATTTTAAGTGTTAACAAATATTAGTAAAATTATGTTACTGTGGTAAAAAAAAATAAAACAAAAAGTGTATCAATATCACTTTTATTAGAGTATATAAAAATATTTTATTTTTAAGTTTTAACAATTTATGATATTTTCACTGTACAAAGACAAATATATATGTCACTTCAGTTTAGGAAAGTCAAATGCTTTAAAACCCCATAACTTAAAGATTGGAAAAAACATTTCTAAATTAAATAAACGAGCTAGTGTCAAAATTCTAAACATTCTTTTTACAATACATCCACTTGACAGATTATAGAATAAAAAAAAAGAACAAAAAAAAATCAGGTATTTCATACAAACTTTCATACATAATATAATTTAGCAAAAGTTATTAAAAATTAACTACTATAATGTAGTTATTATAAAAAAAACGCATTTATGTATAATAACATAGATACACATTACCCAACATATATCTCTTCAAAAAGTGGCGTCGACATGTCACGTTAAGTCAAACCAAAGAATAAAATTCAAACATCGAAAGTTCTAATTGTCTAAACACAAATTCGACCTTACGCACACCACATAGAGTACTTTTTTAAACCAAACAACGTGCGTTTTAATTTTGTCATCCGAAAAGCATGAACAAAAGAGATTTGAAAAAAGCGCATAATTTCTAATTTTGCGCTTCTTTTTGAGGACACTTTTGAGACGCTAATTGTATCTTGAGTTTTTGTATATCAATGTTAAAACCTTTCTTTTTGTAGAGTATCGGAAGGCTTTTAAAAAATATCAAACTGAATATAATTTTTAAGGCATAAACAGACTATTTTTTTTTCAATTTATTAATTTTCATTAAAATATCGGAAAGGTACTGATACGCTTAATAGGCATTGATAAGCTCAGTGGTATCGCGCTCGCTTGGGAAACCGAGTGAAGCGGGTTCAAATCTCTCGTCTCGGTCTCGCACGTTTGATATTTTCATGTGCGAATCATTTCCAACATGATTACCACTTGTCTTACGGGGAAGGAAAACATCGTGAGGAAACCTGCATGTCTGGGAGAACCTAGCAAGTTTTCGAAAGACACGTGAAGTCCGCCAACCCACACTTGTCCAGCGTGGTGGACTATGTCCTGATTCCTTTCGTATAGAAGGGAGGCCCACCCCCAGCAGTGGGACATAAAAAATGGCTGTATACACTAATATGCTTTATAATTTATTTATTTACAATAATTTAAATAAATCATTGATTTCAAACTAGAATACTGGTAACGTAGCCTCAATATTAAATCCAAATAAACAATTTGAATGGATGTTATTAAAATTAAATAAAATGTCGCAAACAAGTGCTGTGTAATATAAAAATATATCCATTTATACATATTTATTCAGGTAAGTCTTATTTGTACCACAAAATGTACTAAAAATAATAAGTTTTTAACTTATCTATACAGATAAATAAAATTCAAATGTCTGTATGTAATGTCAAAATGACAGCTTTTTACTAAATGCATATGAAAGTATATATGGTATTTATAAAAATAAATAAAAAAAAACATTATTAAATGCCGCTAATGCTATTACATTTTTTTTCTTAAAATTGTGATTTCAGCTTTTTTATTTAATATTTTATACACTCTGTATATGCTGTTCTGTCTGTGTGAAGTTGTAACAAATATAAAAACATCTAAATTTTAATATATAATAAAATAGTAACAATATTATGTTTGTTCATGAAATAATATTAATAAAATTTTGTACAATTTTTTTTCTATAATTGTCTTTATATGCAAGTTACATGTACATTAATATGACTCATTTAATTTTTACAATAAAAATTATGACTAATTTACATAATGATGTTAAGTAAGGGAACGCAGCAGAGGAAATGTTTTTTTTTTAATTAATTCTCTTTATTATTTGTTTTTTTTTTAATTATGTTTTTATACAAATTATTTTGTTATTTTCGTGGCTCTAAAAATAGAAGGAATACGAAAATCGATTTCCATATTATCAAAATATCACTCTATACATGTTTTTGTTAACAACTTATTATTTTTAGTCAAAAAAACATTCAAAAATGTAAATTCCAATATACATGCGTAATCAAATGAGGTACTTTTAATTAAATATTTTCTCACACATAAAAAAATATCCCCATAATAAAAAAAATGACTAAAAATCGTATTTTTTATTTATAATTACAAAAATATCTAAGGGCAAACAAAAAAATAATTAATTCGATCATTTTTTGAGACATTTGGCAATTAGTTTTTGTGCACGTTAGTTACTAATATGTACATATTGTAGAAGGTTTATATTTAAATTACTTACAATACCCAGTTCAAAATGCTGAGAGAATTGTTTCATAAAGATTTAAAATAAAAAAACGACAAGTCCTTAGCGAAATTTTGCTAAAATATCCCACGGGATTCATTTTATATTCCGGGATCAAACGTAGTCTGTGTCACTTTGGAAAAATTAAACTGAATAAAGATACTTTGGCATTTGTTATATTATAAGTATAAATAAAGTAAGTAAAATAAACTTACGTTATGAAATATTAAAGGCAAAACGAACTTCATATTTACTTTCTTAGATTTACACGAATATTTGATATTTAAGAAAGAAATTTTTTTTTTAAACTATGACTTTTGAGACGTCAAAAACCTCAGTTTGACCCGTGACAATGTTTGTTGTAAAGCGTGAATCACCGAAAACATAAAATCATTATAAAAACCGCGACAAATAAAACCAGTTTTAAAACGTCAAAAAGTTTAAATTAAATAAAGAGAAAATTTTACACGAAAACCAAATCAGTATGAAACAGATACAACTGTCTAATAATAGTAGATCATTGCTGCCTTATTCATAAAAAAATTATAATCCTCTCAACATTAAAAAAAAAAGAGATCAACCGTTCAAGCTTGGCGACTCTCGCGTCGGTCGCTTCGGTATGAAAGAGACGGTGAGCATGTCGTCCTCGTCTTGCAATAAACAGCCGTTGACAGATTTGCTGCGATGGAATAATCTGTAAAAAATATAAATATCATAATACACAGAAAATTAATCTATTATATTGTTTGCAAAACTAAACAGATGCAGATAAATATATTTTTTTCTTGTTTGTTTTTAAATGTTTATAGAAATTCAAACGAAAAAAATCTCATGCGTTTATTGGTAACGACACAAACATACAAAACCGACACCACAAAAAAACCCCGCTGTATAATTACATTTAAAAAAAGAAAATCCTTCAAAGATTTGCTTTTTTTATTCTACTTTTTAATAAAAAAAACATTTTCCATAATAAAACTTCAAAAAACCTTTTGTTTATTTATATTTCAATAGAATTTCAAAAACCATTAAATTTATTAAAATATAAGAAATAATTTCTTGATCTTCTCATAGAGATAGCGCGATATAAGTATCTTTATCCCTATCAGTTAATCCCACGTATATATATATATATATATATATATATATATATATATATATATATATATATATATATATATATATATATATATATATATATATATATATATATATATATTTATTTATATTTATATTTATATAGAAAAAATATATATTATATAGAAAAAAACCAACTCACACAAAACCCATCACCGACAAAAGACGCACAAACATACGAATCATATTATTACCATAACTTTAATAGAGTCGCCTTGAGCGAGTCCCGCTTTCTGCTAGAGTGAGACAGAAATAGTGTGAAAGAGTGCGATATAGTGCGAATAGATTTACACATTATAGTGAACAGTGAGTGGAAAAACTATAATACATTAAATTAATAGATTTCTTCTTTATAATAAAATATAACGACTTAGAGATTTTGTTTTTTTTTAAATGGAAGATCTCAATCGCATTTTCTATCAATACATATACTTTTTTTTTTATAATAAACCTATGGGCAAAGGTTATGAGGCTTACTTATTAACATAAAGAGTTTATTTTTTAAACAAGTAGATAAAATTGAAGTATTGTATTATATTTTTGTATTGTTTAATGAGAATCAAATCGAATGATTCAAAAATCAACTCTTTAATTTTTATTTAACACATAACTAGCTCAAATCAGGCGTGTGTACGTAAACTAGGGTGGAAGAAGTATGAGAATTATAAAGCAAAAAAAAAATTGATAAAAAAACATGTGCATTACAAAAAATAGTTAACGTTAAAGCATTGGTCATTTTGGGAAAATTTTAACGAATTCGGGCTTTAAAAAAAGACTGGTACTATTTCAATGATTGGTAAAAGATATTTCTTGGAGTCATTATTATTTTTTTGTACATATAAAGTGCTCATCACACGAATGGATGCGGGGCAGCGGTCGTGGATTCGACTCCCGCTGGGCATTTATTTGTGTGATGAGCACGAATCATTGTACTACAGTCATGGGCGTTTATATTTATATGTATGTATTTAAGTTACATATGTGTAGTGTATCAACTATCTGGTATCCATAACACAAGCCTTGTAGCTTACCATGGAACTAGATGGTAGTGGTGTTAATGTCCAAACAACATATTTATTTATGTAAAGTATTTAAAGTTTCACAACATAAAACATTTATTTCCATTAAAATAAAATATCTAATGTTTAATCTTGAAAATTTGATTTTTAAAATTAAATTAGTGAGACCTAATGTGGTAAAAAAACTGCTAAAAGGGCAAATTAAAGCCTTCAAATAAACCAAAATTTTATAATCCATCCAGTTTTTTTCATAAACAGTATTTTTTTATCTTTTTTAAATTTACTATTTGCTACACCCAAAGGTTGCCAGGACTAAACTGCACTTTCAGTTATAAAGCCGCCTCTTGTACATTTTGCTATCATTTTTAAATATTGTCTTTTCTTTTTGGGTATACGATAAAGAGTTTTAATATTATATTTTTTTTATTTTAAATTTCATGTAAAACAAAGAATACATACTTGGCAAGCGGTGAACGATCACCAAGATCCACCTTCTCATCCAACCCTCGGTGCACTGATACGGAGTCTAACTCCTCAATGCGAGTGGATTGGAGATATTCAGCTGTCCGGAGCTGGTCGGGAGTTTTTTTCTTAAATCTGTGGGTCAGTACATATATTCCATATTACATTTTATTTCAATACGAAATGAAGTGTTCCTCAGGGTATTGCATAGGGGCCGCTACTATATCCAATATACACTAAGGACCATAACAAAATTTTAAAGTATATGAACAATAAAATGTAAAATACATACGTTTTGAGCAACAAACTGGAGCACACCACCGATACGGAGCTCATCGCCATCGCGGCCGACGCCATCCATGGCTGAGGAGAAATTTTGATATAGTGTTATTTGATGTGATTTTTCAATAAAAGCAGTCTCTTTCAATAAAATCTGTTATTACTTTAACCTTATAATCGCTTTACATTACAATGGATTACACACGCACACAGCCATATTAAAAAAAAAGATAGATATGTAAGTAATACCGATATAATTATACCAATTTATCATAAATTCAGTATACTTTTGTATTAATTTTTGAGACAAGTCTCAAAAAGTACAAAAAACTCACCAACTCTTCTTATATATAAAATAATATGTGTTCATCTCGATTTAAACGATCAGCGCCATCTTTTGGCAAATTTTAGTTCCAAATTCAGATTCAGGTCGGAATTTGTTTATCTATTTTCATACAATCTTTATGTAAATTTACCTGTAATTGTAATCCGTACAAAGCGAAGGCGCCACTCGCGAGGGGAATCCCCAACAGATTATATACAGATGCAAATATGAAATTCAGTCTGATTCGTCTCACCGTTGTCCTAGAAAGTTCTAGACACGCCACTACGTCTAATAGATCATTCTGGAAACAACAAATTCATTATATTATTTCATTACTAGTGACTTATCCACGCTTCGCTCGGGTGCGTCCATATAATACAGTTTAATAGGAAGATCTTTTGTTTGTTTGTTTTCATATAACTCTATTAGTTCACGCGGCGTACGCCAATACATCTCCCAGTCGATGTGATATTCTCCGACATCTTGAACAAGCATCGTCATATTCCAGCCAATTTACACAAAACTTTAATGAATTGTACACATAAAAATTCTTCACGACTCACTCTGTCCATTGGTGAAAATCAGTTTGATAGTTTTAGAGTTTATCGCGTTCAGATAGACAGATTGACGCGGTGGGGGAACTTTATTTTATACTATGTAGTGACATTCCTTTCAGAAACATGACTTTTTAGAGCATTATATTGCTTTTAATTACATAATTTTATATTTATTTTAATGCCGAATTACAAAAAAATTAAAATAATAAATTTTGGACAAAAAATAAAAAATATTTTTTTGTGGTGGACCACCTTTGTTTTGTTCCGGATAATCTCTGAAACGGCTTTACCGATTTTGACGGGGCTTTCAATGGAAGAAAGCTGATGTTATAGGGAGTAACTTAGGCTACTTTTATTTTAGAAAAAGTATTAGGGTTCCGCTCAAAGAAATTAAAACGTACCTAGGGACGAACCCGAGCGAGGCGAGGGTGAGTCGCTAGTTAATAAAGTATATTTTGATTTGATTGATTTAATTCGAACCTACCCTCATGAGAACCAGGTCAGCAGCCTCCACCGCCACGTCGGTGCCGCTGGCGATGGCGATGCCCACGTCGGCCTGCGCCAGCGCCGGCGAGTCGTTCACTCCATCACCTACCTGGTAAGTCATTATTTTTAAGTACATATAAAATAATGCTTTCTTAGATTTACGCGAATGTTTGACGTTATTATTATTATTTATTTTATTGGGTGTGGTGCCGAGGTCGGCCCTAGCTACGTCGACCAGTTATGGTCCATTGTAGCTCCCTTTGGAATGAATTAAAGTTCTCCGCTTAGTCCTGTTGACTCCAGGAACTTCCAGATTTTCTGAGCGGGGAGCATCTGTATCTCTTCCGGTTGCATAATATGCTGTCCTAGATAGATACTTCTGCGGTGCATGAGACCGCACGAGCAGAGGATGTGCATAGCAGTTTCCTTTTATTTGACGTTATTAAATAAAACTATATTTTCGCAGATTTATTTAGATGTTTGGTTTCTTACGTTTCACGTCACGGGAGAGACTAAGGTTCTATTAGATGTCTCAATGGCATTATATATTTGTCACGGACAGTGCATACCCGTAAATTTACACAATGATTAAAAAAAAATGTTGTAAGTTTTCGAAAATTCGGTGAGGAAACCTACATGTCTGAGAGAGCCTAGCAAGCTGTCTGCAGACACGCTCAGTGCGCCCGCACTCGGCCCGCGCGGGGGACTGCGGCCTGATCCTCATAATGAAGGGATGCCCTACCCCAGCAATGGGACGTTGAAAAGGGCTGAATACAGATTAATAATAATATATTTTTTTTTAATTAAAAAAGTACACTAGCTTAGACATATCTTTAATAGTCGAATACGCTAAAACCTCATTTCTATTCATATATAACTATATTTTTTGGATTTCTAACAATAGCCTGTGTGTTACTCCAGATTATAATCTATTTATGTAGTAAAATTCATCTAAATCTGTCCAGTTTACAACACACGTATATACACAATTTCGTTATTTATAACTCACCATGGCAACTTTTTGTCCTTTTTCCTGTAATTTTTGTATTTTAGCTACTTTATGCGATGGAAGCACTTCGGCGTACACTTTGTTGATCCCCACCTGAAAATATTTAAAAAATACAATGAATTATTACGAATTTTAATGCATTACATATAACTTTTACAGTATTGTTTTGAGAACACTGCAGTATTTCGAGTTTTATTTTATAACAGACTAGCCACATAGCCTCGCTTCGCTCGGGTTCGTCCCTACGTTGATTCCCCATACAAAATTTCATCCCCATTATCACCCCTTAAAGGATGATTTCCGGGATAAAAAGCATCCTATGTCCTTCCCAGGGTCTCAAGCTATCTTCTTACCAAAATTTATCTAAATCGGTTCAACTGTGTTTAGGTAATTATTCTAATTGAAATAAATATACAACAATGTAAATTGAACCTTAAATGCAACGCTCAAAGTTATTTTCACATAAAAAATTAAAAGCGCGCTCAAACGTTCAAATGGGCGCTCATTTGGTGAGGACATTTTTTGTGGCTGATTGTGTATTTAGTACATTTTTGATCGATGGTTGAGATTAAATAAATAAATGTATACCTGTCTAGCGATAGCCACCGCAGTCTTCCTGTTGTCGCCCGTCAACAGACACACCTCCAGCCCCATTTTCTTCAAGCAGTACACCGCGAGGTGCGCTTCTGGCTTCACTTCGTCCGCCACGCCTATTGTACAGACGAGTTGATCTAAAAGGGCAAAAGAAATCTCGTTAATATTATAAATGCGAAAGTTTGTGAGGATGTATGGACGTCTGGATGTATGGCTGTTAGTTATTTTTTCAACCAAAAACTACTGAATGGATTTTAATGAAACTTTACAATAATATAGCTCATATATAAGAATAACATATAGCCTACTTTTTATCCCGAAAAATTTGTATGGTTGCCATGGAATAGATTTGTTTTCGTTTTTCTAGTTAATATTATAAATGCGAAAGTTTAGATGGACGTTTGTTACTCAAATACACTTGAACGGCTGAACGGGTCTGAATAAAATTTAGCATAGAAATGTATTATATAACGGAGGTTATTTTTATCCCGGAAGAATGTACGGTTCCCGTGGGATAAATTTGCTTTTACTTTCCACAGAGCAAGGGACGACTATCTATTCCATACTGACCGTAAAACGTACCGAGGGAAGTCACTGTCTGAGTCGCTAGTAATTCTTATTTAATCTTAAAATAAATAAAGAATGTCATGAGCCTCATGAGCCCCAGGGTCAAGGGTGCACCCACCGTCGATGGCGGCGAGCACGGCGGTGCGGCCGAGCTCCTCGTCCCGCGCCAGCGCCTGCAGCACGCGGCGCGGCACCGACACGCCGTTGCGCGCCATCCACTCCCGGTTCCCTATCAGCACCAGCTGTTCCACCTCCTGGGAAACCATCGGTACATACATATAATGATATCAATAGAGTCAGTTCAATTCAATGTCAGTTTACCTCGGAAATCATCCCTCAATGGGATAAAAAGGGGGATGGAAGTTTGTATGGGGAATTATTTCTCAAGTAAGATATATAAAAACTCATTATATCTACGAATATACGAGTCTATCTATTACATACTAACAGTCAAAACGTACCTACGCTAATTTATACATATAATAATGTTGTAATTAAGCCGAAATTTTATTGAAATAAACATTATTATCGATACAGAGGCCGAATCTATAGTTTTTTAAAATCTTGTCTGTCTGTTACAGCATCACAGAAAAACCATTGGAGGGATTTTGATGAAATTTGGTACAGTGATAGCTGGTTATCCGGGTCAACATATAGGATACTTTTTACCGCGGAATAATATTTCATTTCTGAGAAAAAATACAGAAACTGCATTGTAAGAGTATACTAATATGTAAAACCTAAGAACTTGGTTTTCGGTCGTCTGAACGAGGGCGGAGCCGGCAATGCTTAGTTAATGATACAAATATAATATCCGATTATTTTAAAGTGGATGTTTGTTATATTCTCAAATCTCAGTTTAAAAGTTAACGGACATAAAAGTATGGCGGTTGACAGCGACCCCTCACCTCGTCGTCGTGCAGGCGCGCCGCCGCCCGCAGGCGCGCCGCCGCCTGCGCCGAGCCCAGCGCCGCGTCGCCGGCCGCCGCCAGCGCCTCCAGCGGCACGCCCGCCAGCTGCACCGTGCTGCCTTCCCTAGAAGTGCATTCATAGTATAACTAAAATAACTGACACTCAAAATTAAGTATATTTACTAGTATATAATGATCACTAATAGAATAAATTTTCATCTATACAGATAAATAAAATTTAAGTGTCTGTTTGTAATGTCAAAATTACAGCGTTTTACTAAATGCATATGAAATAATATATAGATAGTACTTATAAGAAAAATACATTTTTTTTTAATCTTTGAATGTCTGTTTGTTCAGGACAATCGAAGATCGTGAGAACTTAGCAAGTTTCCTACAAGACGTGTGAAGTCCACCAACTCGGCCAGTGTGGTGGACTACAGCGTGATCCCCCTCGTACTGAAGCGAGGCCCAGCCCCAGCGGTGGGTCGTCAAAAAGGGCTGAATACATACCTGGCGGCGGCAAGCGCGGCCTTCACCTGCGGCGAGACGGGCACCGCCCCGCGCAGCGTGACGCGCGCGCGCAGGCCGCAGCCCGGCGCCGCCGCGAACCCGCTGCACGAGGCGCGCGCGCCGCCCACCACGCTGCTGCACCACCGGACTATTGCTGTCGGGTCATTTGTTTTAGTATCTGGCTCGAAGGACCATTGTATATACATATCTTATCTTTATTTTCATCTTTTGTACTGTTGTATGTTTTAAAATTTGGATCATATTTTAAATTGTATAGCTCAAAAGACCGATTCGTGTATGTTTGGTAAATTATTGTTTTGGAGTATGTCTGTCATCATCTGGCTTGCAGGACCAATTTTCAAATGCTCGGGGATAATATTTTACGTTATTATAAAAAAAATACAAATAAAAATTTAAAGTTTTATCTGAATGACTTTAACAAAATACTTTGAGTATGAATATTTGATGTTATATTCGCGTAAATCTACAAAAGTATTACACGAAATTTTAAAGTTTTCTACAGTTTATAATTACCAGAGGCTACAGGGTGTTCAGAGTTGAGTTCCGCAGACAATATGCAGGCGAGTACCTCCGGCAGGGAGGAGGGCTCGCCCGTCAGCAGCGACACGCGCGCCACCGACGTGCTGCCCTGCGTGATGGTGCCCGTCTTGTCGAACACCACTGTCTTCACCTGTAATGTTTTAAGGGTGAGACATTTATTCACCGACTTCTAAAATGGAGGAGATATTATAAATGAAACTATTATTTGGGGATTTTTGGACTTAGATACAGGATAGACGCCATGATTTCCCAAACAGAATTGTTTAGGGAAAAAAGAAGTTATATGAATGCTGCAAAACTATAATAAGTAATATTGGGTTTGATAATTATATATCCAAACTAATCAGTTGCTTTTGCTTCGCTCAGGTGGTGTCCCTACGTGACGCACGTTAACTTATGTGTTACCAGTTACTGTGTCCAGATCATAACCTATCTGTGTACTAAATTTGATCCAAATCCGTCCAGCTGTTTCATTTTAGAAGAATTAACAAACACACAGACAAACACAAAAACTTTCTCATACTTATCATATTATAGTAATCAGATAATATTGTAATTATTCCCTCTTTGTGCTCCTCGTAGAGGGGTTTCCCTATGGACGGTCCGAGCATACCTTATGAGCGTTCTCCAAGGGCTCGGCCCCCTTGATGAGCAGCCCCATGTTGGCGCCGACGCCCGAGGCCACCATGACGGCGGTGGGCGTGGCCAGCCCCAGCGCGCAGGGGCACGCGATGGCCAGCACCGACAGGGAGAAGTGGAACGCCGTCTGGAAGATCAGCTCCCAGTCGGAGAAGCCGGCGTCGCGGTAGATCTCCTGGGGAAACGGAGAGGGAAGAATAATTTAGAGAATTTGAAAATAACGACATGTTTGACTCAGTTTGTAGTGACCTTACTTGCTGTGGCAGCGGTCGCGGGATCGTGTACCACTGAGGGCATTCATTTATGTGACGAGCACGATTTTTTTTAATCCAATTACGGTGTTTATACTTACATGTATGTATTTAAAGTTATATATGTGTAGTGTATCAACTATCTGGTATCCATAACAAAAGCCTCGTAGCTTACCATGGAACTAGATGGTGCTGGGTTATTGTCCCAACATATTTATTAATTAATTAGTTTCGTTAGTGTGGGTGCATGCGTGCGTGTGTGTGTGTTTTATATTGGCTTTAACCTAAGAAAGTATATATTACTTCAAAATAAATATAATACTATAAGTTCTTACTGGTGTAATGTCTTTTATCCTTTGAATCTTCAACGCTCCGCTAATGACCCAACATACCAGCGTCAAGGCAGACAGGAACACCACTATTGGCACGAAATATCTAGAAATAAAAAAAACAAAACTATTAATGTTTACATCAAAATTGGACCACTTCAAAGCAGGTCAAACCTTTAATATATTAATATACACGTGTACAGATATCATCATACATATATTTTTGTTGTATTATTATTTATTTTAAATAAAAAAGTCACCAAAAAATAATTTGTATTTCTAAATAAATTTCATTTGCAAATAAAATAAACAATATTTCTTAACAATACTGTGTAGAAGGTATATTACAATTTAGATGTAATACAGAGTGTGTGAGGGAGATCGCGCAAACATACACATTCTCTGTCTCTTTTACTCTTACAGTCAAGTGGACCATAATTCGACACTCGCGAGATAAGGCAGTGGTAGTGCAGTGGTAAAGTGCTCGCTTGGAAAAATTAAGTGAAGCGGTTTTAAAAGGTGATGGAAAAAGAGAGTGAAAGAGAGAGGGACATAAATGAGTATTCCCCTTATCTACATAGATAAATAAAATTGAAGTGTCTGTTTGTAATGTCGAAATAACAGCTTTTTACTAAATGCATCTATACTTATTATAAAAATAAGTCCCCCGGCCGCGTCTTTCTGTCCTCCTGTCTGTCCTCCTGTCTGTCTGTACGCGATAAACTCGAAAACTACTGAACGGATTTTTATACGGTTTTCAACAATAGAAAGAGTAATTCTTGAGGAAGGTTTAGGTATATAATTTATTATGCTTTTATGTAAATTAGCTGAAATACGGCGACAAATGTTGAAGAGGTCGCAAAAAATCTCGCCAAATGGGAACTTTCCACGCGAACGCCGCGTAAACTAGCAAAGATACAGTTAAGTAATGTACTAGAGAATTCAAAATCTATAAAAATGCTACAAAAAAGTCCGCGATAGCATATCTCTATCTCTTTACGGTTGACTTACAATAACCACTTTTATGTTAACATGTTTAATTAAAAACATTACGTTATTTTCAAAGTTATTTTCTTTAGTTCGGTATTAATCCTTATCCAAATGAATATTTTAGTTAGCTTAGTCATTTAATGCAGATTAAAATTGCTCTTTACACTAAATCAATCAGATGAATAGTTTTTGAGATATCGTTGTTAGAAGTAATTAGTAGCGAAACATTTTTAATGCTTGGCGAGCATTGAGATGCCTACGGCGAGTCCATCCCCTCTGCCCCGCATCGCTCGACCGCCTGCTCAAGCTATATAAACCGGGCGATGTAGCGCGCGATCCTAGGATACTTTTTACCGCGGGAAAATATCTTATTTCTGAGGAAAAATACAAAAACTGCAATGTAAGAGTATACTAATATGTAACACCTAAGAATTTAGTTTTTGGTCATCTGAACGCGGGCGGAGCCGCGGGCAATGCTAGTATGAAATAATATACGGTACTTATTAGAAAAACATACATTTTTTACATTTTTGTCTATATGTATGTTTGTTTCAGCTAATTTCCGAAACGACTGGACCGATTATAAAGGGACTTTCACTGGCAGATAGCTGATGTTATAAGGAGTAATTTAGGCTACTTTTATATTAGAGAAAGTATTAGGTTTCCTCACCCGGCGACAGTGTCTGCGAGGCGCTGCACCGGGGCTTTCCCGCTCTGCGCGTCCTCCACGAGGCGCACGATCTGCGCCAGCGTGCTGGCCTCGCCCGTGTGCGTGGCGCGCATCACCAGCGCGCCGTGCTGGTTGATGCTGCCGCCGATCACCAGCGAGTCTGTGGACCGGGTAGGACTATATGGACCATGAGTGTTACACCGGGGATAGGACCAAATAACCAACGGGTCTTGGCACCGAGGTTCTCATTGTTGTATTCAGAGAAAAGTACCGAACGATATGTACCGAATTTACACTATATAATGAGGGAGAGGAAAATATGGACCATAACTATGACACGCCATCCATACTTACTAATATTATAAATGTGAAATAAAATTTCTTTAATACTTTCTTAGATTTACGCGAATATTTGACATTTTAAATAAAACTATATTTCCGGATTTTTTCGCGGATTTATTTGGATTTTTGGTTCCCGACGTTTCGAATGCTTTACAGTTTTGTGTTTGTTTGTTTGTTTTTCTTTCACGTCGAAACGAAGAGACGGATTAGCGTGATTTTTTTGTGTGCATATAGTTGGGGAGCTGGAGAGTGACATTGGCTACTTTTTACCGCGGGAGATTATCTAATTCTCACGGAAAAACACATTATAATACAATCCAAAAAAATAATTATCTCTTCAATAAAATTGAATAAATACGTATGATACGTTATATTTCCTGGCCTTATGACCTTCCTGGCTTGATCCCCCTCGATGGGAGACCCACTTCTAGTAGCGAATCTTTAAAAAGGGTTGAATATGTAGACACATTATACACACACATCCTTTCAATACTTTCCTATTTTTGATTAAACCCTTTTTTTATTAGACTTTTTTTAATAGACACTTGTAAAAAGTAAAAAAATGATATTAAAAAGGCATATAATAATATGCAGAATTTTTATTTCTATTTCAATAAAATAAATTTAAATAGTCTAATATTGCTGCAACGGCCATGAATGCAATACCTTTGCTCTTGGTGACGGGCATGGACTCGCCGGTGATCAGGGACTCGTCGCACGTACTTTGCCCGGAGATCACTTTCCCATCCACTGGTATTTTCGCACCGGGAACTACCTGAAGGAAATCAAGAAAATAATGTAATCGGTTTTTAACCGACTTCCAAAAAGGAGTAGTTTCTCAATTCGTCGGAATCTTTTTTGCTTTACAGGTGGTCCTTTTAAATTCTATCGAAATCGGTCGAGCGATTTTTAGAAATCAACAATAAATCAGTAATAAACATGAGCCCGATGGGATATACCATCAACATTTCTGGTGTATGATGGTGGTGTGATGATGGTTATGGCGTGAAGAATATTACTTTCCATATTTGTATGGATTTTCTATTGTAGGGATAAGTTTTCAGAATAAATAATTAAACAAAGGACTTCTCAGAAGGAGCCTTCCGTTATAGGTTATTTTCAACTTTTTTTTTAGTTTAAAACGATTTTTTTTAAGTAGAACTATTTTTATGAATTTATTTTGACTGTTGGTATTCGAAATTTCGAATGCTTTATATCTATCATAGTCACTGCAGAGACGAAAACATAGTTTTATTTGATATGTCAAATATTCGCGTAAATCTAAGAAAATATTATATGCATTTTTTTTGCTTTTTATATGGATTTTTTAGCTTGTATTTATTTTAGACCTTTACTGCGAAAATAGTAACATATGCTTAATTCTTAATTTTAGCACTTTTACTACACATTAAAAATATGTTACATTAAAAAAGTCAGTAAAAATTTATTTATTTACAAAAATAAAGTACAATTTATCTGAAATTATTTTAACTTTAAGAACTAACCTTCAGAACATCACCTCGCTCCACCAAGTCTACCGGGATGCTCTTCTCGCCCACCTCCCGACCCTCAGGGTCGAGGGTCACCAGCACGGCTTCCGTCGGTTTCAGGGATAGCAGCTTCGACAGAGCTTCTGAAGTTTTTCCCTAGAGTGAACAATATGGTCAAATCTATTATTGAGATCGTGAGTTCGATTTCCTTAAAGTTATATTTGTATGGAAAATACATATTATATTTATATACAAACAAGCAGAACCCGCTGCTCGCTCGCGCTAAAACTACAAAAAAGTCTCTGAAAAGATAGTTTCATACAAAGTTTCATCCCCTATTTTACCCCTTATTTGATGAATTTGGAAAAATGCTAAAACACGTATTTATTTAATTTTATTGAAGAGCGTTAATACTAAGCTTCAAGTAATTCTGATCATTATTTTTTTTTGGGTCGAATTATAACGTGTTTTTCCGTGGGAATGAGATAATCTCCCGCGGTAAAAAGTAACCTATGTCACTCTCCAGCCCTCCAACTATCTCCACACAAAAAATCACGCCAATCCGTCACTCCGTTTTGAGGTGAAAGAAGGACAAACAAAAAAACAAACAAACACACTTTCACATTTATAATATTAGTATGGATGGCACTGTATATTGTTTTCCTGTTTGTGCGAAAATATATTTTGGCAATACTGACAGCTTTTTAGCTATGAAAGGTATGGCCTTATAAAGTTTTCCTAACATCCATCTTATCTTTATTATATGGAGCAAAAAAGTTAGAGAGCCCTCAAAAGACTAGTGTTCACATTTGCTGATCTTCCATCTAAAAAAGGAGAACGAGGGAGAAGTCATAACTAAAAAGTATTGCTATTCACATCTAATAGATCTTCTACCTAAAAAAAGGGGATGGAGGGGTAGGTTTTGGGGTGTATTATAGATTAGCAACCCCCTACCTTAGCAATGTGTTCCAACCACCGCCCCAAAGACACGAACACGAGTAGCATGGGGGGTGTGTCGAAGAACGTTAGCGGACTCGTGTCCTTCTCCATCACCATGGCCGCTATAACTACGGCTAGTGAATATGCATAACTGAAAGAGAAATATTTAATAAATACACTTTTTACTAAAAAAAAAGTACAGAAAGCAGTAGCCCATTCAAGTTACGATGAAGGAAAACATCGTAAAGATACTTCATGCAGAAGATCCTCTCAGAAATAAGTTTTATTCGTTGTATTCAGTCCTTTTTTAACGCCCCAATGCTGGGCGTGGGCCTATTCATTACGAGGGAGATTAGGCCACTGCTCCTCACGCTAGCCGTGTGCGGGCGGAATGCACGTTTCCTCACGATTTTATCTTTCACCGTAAGCTTGTACCGACATTTTTAAATAAAATTGACGACTTTCCAATTTAATTTACAAATATAACATTCATAAATTATAGTCCATAATTTGCCTAGGTAATCTCTCTATCGATTGATGAAAACCGTATCAAAATACGTACAGTAGTTCCTGAGGTAAGACCGGACAAACACAGACCTAGGACTTCGATAATATATAGCGATGATACACACCTTATTGTAGTGGTCATAGATATGAGCACGTCCATATTCGAGGTGCCATGTTTGAGAGCTTTATAGGCTTGCTTGTAGAAGTGCCAGCCGCCTATGAACTAAAACGAGAAAATAAGTATTATAAATTACACAAACACCAAAAAAAAACATTAATAGAAAAACGAATTATATGGAAACAAGATGGCGTTACAGTATATTAGAATTCACTCGAAGATGTATAAGTTTTATTTTTGTCGCGAATACACACGCACACATCGCGGACATGCACATACATACGCACTCACACACAGACGCTCACACATATACACACTTTATATTTTTATTCGACAGCAACCATGGTCACGGGAAAGACTAAAATTTTAGGCGTTTCAAAGGTCATATAGTTATTACACACGGCATCTACCCACAAAATTACAAAATTATTTCATAATTCTTTTTTGTATGTATAGCATTTCATGATGTTAAACCATTCGAAACATCGGAAACTAAAATTCAAAATAAATCCGCAAAAAAATCCGAAAAGGTACAGGTAAATTTACACGACAGATTGATTGAATAAACTCATTTGTTGGATGACATTTTGGATATTTTCTTATAGGCCCAAACCCTGACGAACCTGCACGGGGGTGGCCAGCAGCCACAGGATGAGGTTCTCCAGGCTGAGGCCGGGCAGCACGCAGCACATGTCGCGGTGCGAGTGCCACTTCATGGCCACCATGAAGTACGTCATGGCGGCCATGCACGGCGCGCCGAAGATGAGAGATATGAGGAACGCGCCGCGCCACTTTCTTATTTCCTCCCTGGATTACAAATAATTAATCAATTATAAATGTAAAACCTCAAGAGAACTTAGCTACTTGTCTATGGTGTATATCGTGGTGGACTATGGCGTGACCCCCCTCATATTGAAGGGTCCACGCCCAGCAGTGGGACGTTAAAAAGGGCTTACATACATACGAAATACGGTCTAAGAGTTTCAATTACATCAGTTCTATTTATAGAACAAATAAGGCAAGTGGTAATCATTGTTGGAAATAATTCCCACTTAAACAAATCAGAGGTGCAAGACCCAGGATTTGAACCCGCTTCACTCGGTTTCCCAAGCGAGCGCGTTACTACTGGGCTACCACAGATCGACCACAGCTTATGCCAACTTCCATAAAAAAATTTATTGAACACCTTTTATATAAATTTTAAGAAAAAAATAGATCTTTTGGGCGGAATGATTATTTTTAAAGCAATTTTAAATTCCTATGAAATTAAAAAGTATCGTAATCATATTTATTAGTTTATTATAATTATTATTTACTGATTTAAGTTATTTACGTATAATTTCTCCACTTCTCAATTTAAAGAATTAATTAAAGAAGTTTATAGAAGCGGAGATATGTACAAAATAAATACAAAAATATTTTTATTTCAAACCTGTCTGGTAGTTCTAGTTAACGCGGACAAACAAACAAAAATACTATTATTTAATTAAAAAACGTTCTAAACTATTCAATAGTACTCACTTGTGTTCTAAATAATTACTAGTGCCTCTGGTATTCGAACTGACGACCGTCGCCTCGAAGCCGAGCGCGTTGATGGTGTCGCAGATCCTCCTCACGCCCACTATCTCCGGATCGTACTTCACTTTGCCCCTGAAAATAACAAAAATGTATACAGATATAATAAAACTAATACGCGAATATTTGACATTTTATATAAAACTATCTTTTCGGTTTTTTTCGTGGAATTATTTAATGGCACCAAATTACCTTACAATATTTGTTGATTTTAATTCTAAACAAAGGAAGCATTCGAAACGTCGTTTATTTAAAATTTCTTAACACAAAAACCCTTTAAAAATTATACTCGGCCTGACCGGGAATTCGAACCTAGGACTTTCTGATCTGCAGACGTAGATCAATAAGAGAGTTAATAGAGTTAGTCTCATATATCATTATATGAGAATCGATTATCGAATCGAATAATTATTCATTTCATGAACAGACACTTAAAATAAAAAAAATCAATAGAGAATGTGCGTGTGATTTAAATAAAGACGAAATATTTTTTTATGTCATTTCTTTTTGAGTAAGAAAATAATTATTAAAAAGTGCAAATATAAGTGGGAAAAATTCGAAGTAGTTGAGTCGCCATTGGTTAGACCGAATATGACGTCAGAGTATATCATAACAGAGCGATTACCGATTTTGTCGCTATAAATAGCTTCGTCACGTCTCTGTGTATATTATACTGTGACGTCACGCTACGCGCGTATGGCGGGCGTTTAAAGTATCCGAAACGGTGAGAGGTGTTTAAAAAAATATACTAAATTTGAATTTTTTGGAGGTGGATATGTTTTTAATAATTGAATAACGATTTCAGCTATTGTATAAATTAAAAAAAAATCGCTAATTCCCTATCGACCTCCCAACACCATAGCCCCCATACCAGCCACACGTCGACTCACTTGGAGGTGGTGAGGGCGACGGAGCAGGACACGACGCCGCCCAGCTTAAGTACTGACTTCTCTATCTTGTTCACGCACGACGCGCACGTCATGCCCTTTATCTGTGAACGGGATACATTATAAAAATTATTAAATAAAAGTAATGATACACAGTAGTAATAATATAAATTATTATAATTATATAAAAATAGAATTTATATAAATCGATCTATCTATCAATAGTAATAGATACACAATCAGCGAGAAAAAAATGTCCTCGCCGAATGAGCGCTCACTTGAACATCTGTGCGCGCTTTTAGTTTTTTTGGTGACAGTTTTAAGAGAACTTTTTCATGGGACTGTGTATCTGGTACTTTTTTTAATCGATGTTTATATTTACATATAAATAGCGACTTACTTTTACTTTTTCAAAAATAAAAGTAGCCTAAGTTACTCCTTATAACATCAAAAAAAAAAAAAGTCCCATCAAAATCAGTTTAGCCGTTTCGGAAAATAGCCGGAAGAAACGGACAAAGAAAAATAAAAAAAAAGTGTTTTTCCTATAAGTATCGCATATAATTTAATATACATTTATTAAAAAGCTGCTATTTCGACATTACAAACAGACACTTCAATTTTATTTATCTGTATAAATTGTAAAATAATAATTTTATTCTATAAGTTGTCGTTCTGATATAAAATACTTATTTGAGTTTTCTAAAGTTGTCATCTTGAGTGATAAAAGGACGAGAAAAGCGTTGTTTTATTTTATGACTTACGTCAGTCGCTATTAATAATATACTCGTATATACAAAAACAAAATCCAAAACTCACCAACACAGTCAAATCCCGGGGGGCACCACTGTCGCTGATCAATTCCGCGGGAAACCCCAATTCCGAGATGGACTCTGCCACCGCAATGGCCGATATTTTCGATGGCTCGTATCTAACTTCCGCTTTAGCTGCCAATAACGCTATCACTATCGAATGAACACCTGAAAATAATAATTGAATTAGCTTGTTAATAGCTTCAAAGCGTGCCAGTTGAGCATAGATTACTTCGACAACGTCGCGTAGAATGGAGAACACACGAAGGATATTGGCAAGAAAACTATCATAATGTTAAAAAAAATATACTTTCTAAATATTATTTTTCTTTAAATGAAGTTTTTTTCGGATTTCGTTGGTTGGGTTTTATTTTGAGTTTTTGTTTCAGAAGTTTCGAATGTTTTACAGCTAATATAGTTACGAGAGAGAGATCGGTCTGACAATGTTTCATGTCAAAAATTGAAAGAATAGTAAGAAAATTTTATAAGCTATGGTATCTTAGTGGTAACGTGTTTACTTGGAAAACCATGTGGAGTCGAGTTCAAATCCCAGGTCTCGCACCTGTGATATTTTCATGTTACGGCGAAGGAGAACATGGTGAGGAAACCTGCATGTCTGAGAGAACCTAGCAAGGTGTCTGTAGACATGCTCAGTCCGCCCGCACTCGGCCCGCGCGGGGAACTGTGGCCTGATCTCTCTCGTATTGAAGAAGGCCCACTTAAGTATATATGTATGTGTGTTTTTTATAACTCCTTCCGCTGAAACGGCTGAACGGATTTAGATAAAACTTATACAGATAGACCTGGTATATTGATTACTGTTAGACATCTGATGTACAATAATATTACCATTTAACTTGGCACAATGCTTCTCAATGGCGGCCACACACGACGCGCACGTCATCCCGCGGACTTCCAACGTACACCGGGATATCTCTGTAGTGGGTGAGATTGTGCCCTAGAAATTAAAAGCAATATAAATAAATACGAGTCTTGGTTAGTCTTTTAACGAAGAAAGGGATCATCGTGATTTTCAAAATGAGATTTAGCTGTGAGATTGAATTATGGGTCTTAGTTTTATATCCTGAACATGAAAATTACTATAATTATTTCAATTAAAAAAACCGGTCAAGTGCGAGTCGGACTCGCACATGAAGGGGAACTCTTACCATTTACATTTTAATATGTATCAGTTATAACACTATGTACTAATCGTTTTTTTTTATTTGCATAGTGGCTATTTTGAAATTTGCCATCTTGATTTTTTATTATTTGTTGTTACAGCGGCAATAGAAATACACACTATGTTTACTTTTTATTTTTATGGAACAAAAAAAATATGTTTATGAAAAACGAATCACAACTCAAACTCTCTTGTAAATGGCTTCAAAAAAAAATGGAATCACAATTGGCGAAAACAGCGCGTAGCATAGCACATACACAAAAACATAACTTATTCACAAAATCGATTAAAAATATACTAGCATTATATTGCACTTTTGAATTAATAATATGTCTAAATAAAGTAAAACGCTAACTGTGGTTAAAGCAACAAAAAAAATGGTACATATTATATTATAATATACTTACATTTTGTTGACTTCTACTTTTCGCCGGTGATATTTTAACTGTATCTCCTGAACCTTCTTCACTATTGCTTTGTTTTATTTCTAGAAAAAAAATAAATAAATTATGAAATATCATCGTATTATTTTACACTAAAGAGACAAATTGAAATCGTTTAAAATGTACATATAAGTAACGTATGATATAATAATATGTTATAATAAATAATATTACTATCCGAGAATTTAAGTAAATTTAAAACAATCAATGTCATACATTATGAAGAACAAAGGGCCAAGTTAAGATCCTTGAGGAACTCCTGTATTTGCTTAGACATTTTTTATAATAATACATTGGCGTTTTTTTTCTTGTACGTTATTATACGTTAAATCGTAAATTATTCTTCAAGTTTTATAGATACGATAAAAATAGTAATCGAACCCGTTATCTTCGAACAAAAGGTATATATATTTACGACCATATATAATTATAATGATTTTATGATTCTATATCAATGCCAAATTTTTTGAAGATGTAAGATTTGTTTGTTTGTAATAGATAAACTCTGAACTATTAAATCTATTTTAACAATTCTTTCACCATTGCATACGTTTCTAAAAGAAACTTCTATTACCTACTAGCGATGCACCCATGCTTCGCTCGGTTTCGTCCCTAGGTACGTTTTAACGGTTAGTATGGAATAGAAAGATTAAATATTATTATAGCCTTTCTCAATAAACCCGGCTATCAAAAGCAAAAAGAATTTTTCGAATCGGATTAGTAGTTCCTGAGATTAGCTCGATCAAACAAACAAACTCTGCCTCTTTATGATATTAGTATAGATTATGTCTGTCTTAAAATTTTGTAGCGTTAATTATCCGTTCAGCTAAACGAGTTTAGGTGATTTTTACAGACTTATCGATGGAATAAAGAATACATACACACAGATAAAAGATTTAGAGAGATTGTTACAATTGAGATTGTTAGAGGTTTTATGATTTTTTTAAGACACATGTAAATATGGAAGCGAATAAAGAGAAGGTAGTAGTATATGTAGCCTAATCGGGATACGGTTTGAAAACAACAACGCAACTAAACGCCAGACGCAAACCAAGAAAAATTTAAAAACTGAGTTTTTTTACAAATATCTCGAAAACTTTGAGGTTATTGTAAAAAGTTTTCATAAAAGTTGTATATTTTTACTAGACCTACAACTTTTGTAAGAAACATTATTCGATAGAACGTCTCAGTAAACCGGAAATTGAAAAAAAAAATTATTTTCAACGGTTTACGTCCCCGCATTTCTCGGGTAGGTATAGCTGGACATCGGGGGCATTTTACGAATTTCTATTCCTTATATACCTGCTAACATTTTAAAATCATAAAACTTCAGGTTTTCAATAAAAAAAAAACTCTTAAATAAACGGATTCCGATTGGTCTAATGATGTTATTGCAACAAAAACATAATATATCTAATAGCTGTAATAACTCGAACGTGTCAAAAGATGATATCATATTTAAAAGAGGAAACTTATGTGTTGACATTTCAAAACTCTTCGTATAGGAATTTGACTTTTTTCATAGAAATAACTAGGATCTACTTCAAAATACTTCAAAATTATTTTCCCCATATTGAGAGTTGTTTCAAATTTATTTATAACTCAAAACTTAGCTTTCCATCCGTCTATCTAAGGCTTCCTTAAAAAAGAAATAAAAAAATTTAGTCCTACCAAAGTTTTTTTGGCAGTTATCAAAACTACTACGACATTTATACTCTGTAGATGGTCTTGACGCTCAGTAAAAATATTGATAAATACTTGCTTCAATTTGAACCTAATAATATATATAGCCTTTGCAACAGAAATAAGGTAATATAATTTAATTTCCATAGAAAAACGTTCGAATCTCTTTTCAGTTTTAATTCCTTAAAGACATATCTATACTAAATATTATAAAAAGGCAGTGTTTGTTTGTTTGAACGCGTCTCAGGAACTATTAATCCGATTTGAAAATTTATTTTTGAATTAACACGTTTATTCAGAAAGGCTATAGGCTATATATCATATAATATATATTCTATCTATTGCATACTAACCGTTATATATACATATATCTCAACATATATATGACGCACACATTTTTTCTATATGACAATTGTATCGCGCCACGAAACCCAGACCCCAGTTGTCCCGTAACCTTTTACCGTTTCGCATGTCAAGTTTTTCATAAAATATACATATATTTTGCTAGGGATATTTGTAACTAACTTAAAATCTACATAATAAATATATGTGACTTTGGACATTAGATAATTATCTATCCATGCACATATATATACACAGACACACATACACACGAAACGTACCTGTTTGTTCTTTCCCATCAACACTTATAATGTTAACATCAAAACCCATAGAGTATATTGCGTCGGCTATTTGTTTAGGAGTTACGGCGTTCGGTGAGAACTTGACTAGCGCTGTGTTGTCAGACAGACTGACATTCGAATGTATTACACCTGGCATTTCTTTGAGACTACCTGGAAAAGTAACATGTTTATATTAATAAAAATGAAATGCTCTTTTTGGTAAGGGCATAAATTGAAAATGGCTAGAGTTCTAAATAGTCCGTATAAGGTTTTTAGGGAAAAAAATCGAAAAAGTTGTCCGAAAATTGAACGATGTATAGATGACCTAAGAAATGTTGCGAGCAGTGGATGGATACGAGCTACCCAGCACCGGGATGGTGCCTTTGTTCAATACTTGTGCTTTTTAACCGACTTCAAAAAGGAGGAGTTTCTCAATTCGACTGTATGTTTTTTTTTTTTTTATGTTTGTTATCATATTGACTCAGTAGGATTTTTGTATGAACGAAAAGATCAATCAGGATAACGTCTGTCGAATTAATATTTTTATCATTAATGCCATATTAATTACAAAGTTTGTGATAATGCACTGCTTCATTCGTTTTTTACTATTGATCTGTTTATTTTTATAAATCATTATATTCTTCCTTACAACACAAGAATCATTCTGAATAGAAGACCAAAGTCTTTCCATTAATAGAATGATCTTTCTTATTGTTGATCTCACAGATTACCAAATAAGGCAACTTTAGGAACATAATAGAAACAATTTAAATCATAACACTACTAATATAGTGAAAGAAAATAATTGGAAAAGCACTGAGTATACAAACGATAATACCCAAACTAGCAATTCTTGTACATATATAATCTGAATCTCAGAAACGGCTTCAACGATTTTCATGAACTTTAGTATACAAGGGGTTTCGGGGGCGATAAATCGATCTATATTAGTCTTATGTCTGGGAAAACGCGTGTTTTTGAATTTTCATGCGGTTTTCTTTCGCATTATTCCACGCAAAATATGGTCGATAATTTGGCACGCTCAGGCATAAGTGTCATGGTCAAGCGGCCAAGGCGCAAGATTGACAATTATAGGTGTCCGGGTTCGAATCCCGGTCGGATACAAAGGTATAATTTACTTTTGTTTTTTTTTTTGTATTTATTGAAGTTTTTAGTTTTTTTTTAAAGAAAATTGTACTTCTGACCAAAAACTCCGAGTGAAGCTCGGTGGCCCTGATACTAAGTATATAACTCCTTGAGAGATCTAAAACTGTTACCATGACTGCGGTAAAGAATTCGAAACGTCGGGAACCAAAAATATAAATAAATCCACGAAATAGTCCTAAAAGATAGTAAGTTTTATTTAAAATCTCAAATATTGGCATAAATCTAACAAAGATTTAACTAATAAATGAACTCACCTTCTATAGTATTAACACAAGATTGACAAGTCATTCCAATGACAGATATTAGGGTTGTACTCTCACTGGTCCCCGCCATGTCGATTAAGAGGTCCGTTGGTATTTCACGTGGGAGGAGATTTCTGTGACATAGAGAAATTACAACTTAAGCTTAATTAAAATTTTATAATAATTCTAGCATTGCCCGCAGCTCCGCCCGCGTTCAGATGACTAAAACGCAAATTCTTAGGTTTTACATATTAGTACACTCTTACGATACAGTTTTTATATTTTTTTCTCAGAAATGAGATATTTTCCCGCGGTAAAAAGTGTCCTATATGTTGACTCGGATAACCAGCTATTACCATACTGAATTTCATCAAAATCCCTCCAGTGGTTTTTCTGTGATGCGGTAATATATGACATATATGACAGACAGACAAAAATTCTAAAAACTATTGATTCGGCCTCTGTATCGATAATAATGTCTATTTCAATAAGATTTTCCAAAAAATATTTTATGTACAGATTCGGCTTAAATTTAGTTACAATTTTATTATTTTATAATAATATAATAAATTAATCTGTATGTACACTATATATTTTATTATCATAATCTACATAATTTTTTCCTATCATCAAAATGGTATTGAAACAAAAGATGAATCGTTATATCATAGAAACATAATTGTGATTTCCCATATATTTATTAAGATTTCTATTCATCAGCATTTGTAGAATGTCATCTTATCTAATCCCCTATAAAGAGTACTAGCAGTGCCCATGGCTTCGCTCGCGTTCAAACTTCTGATCGCTACCAAACTTCACAGGATCATTCGCTGGGCTAAACTGAAGATTGCCGGAAAATTTCATCAAAATCACTCCAGCCATTTTTAAATCCATAGGGAACATACATACGTTATATATGTATATAGAACCAAAGTAGACCAAAAGTAGACCAAGAGTAGACCAACCTCGTTTCGTCGTCACGGCTATCTGTCGGCACTTCGAATCCCATATCTTCTATATGGGAGCGGATAGCTTCCACAGAACACTGGCTAGGGTCAAACTTAAAGTACCCTGCGTGTTCTGTTAACTCCACCTGTGAGAAATGCAATTATTAAAACTAAGAACAAATTTATGATCGTATACTTTATATGTTAGATTCATTTAACAGGGAACTTCACATAATAGAGAAGGTGAAGAAGCTTTAAGTATTTCTTTCAAAGAACAATATATGGAGATTCAACTCAATGTTTTGTCTTTTTTATGTAATCAGACACCAAAATTAGGGATTGTTTTATATTTTAATTACAGGGCGTTGTCACGTTGAGTATGTAAAAAAAGAATTGATGTGAATGGTATAAGCTAATGACAGCGTAGCGCTTGGCAATCTGTTCTTTCTGACTTGCCCTCACACGTAAATAGATAAAATATTGTATTGCAATATTTTAAACAAATGCTTTTGTCAAACATGCAACTGTAGAGTTTCTCGACAGCACTTCCCAGCAGAACTGCCTTCCAAGCCGGTGTAGTGGTAGTTTTCTTATGGACTCCATGGACTTACATACTGGTATTTAATTTATATGTAAGAAAACGTGTGCGTGTACTTATGTACGCACGTAAGAAGTTATACTTCTTTGGCGTAACAGAACAAAAATAGCTAAAGATTTCATCCCGTATGTCACAACTCTCTGTTTGTAAAAGGAATGCTAAATTAATTAATGATATATTACAATCATATGTTTATAGAATATCATATTATGGAAAGAATATAATACCTATTTGTCGGACAATAACAACGGTTACCATGGCAACAAACAGCTATCAGCTAACTTCATCATGTCGCTTTTTGGCTGTCGGTGTGCGCGCGCATCGTAAACATTTTACTTTCATAACTTTTTACCAAACGTCCCAAAAGAAGTATAACTTGAAAAAATAATTGTCAAAGTGCTTGTAAAATTCTGCTTTATATAATATGGTAAAGCATTCAACTAAAGAGTTAAGAGACACGCTACATCACCAAAGTTAATAGATCAGTGTCCGACCCACCTTCACGTCTCGTATACCAGGCAGCTCTCGTACGGAACCCTCTATGCTCCGCACGCAGGACTGGCAGGTCATGCCATTGATCGGCACTCGAACTGCCACCAGCTCTGGACCCTCTCTGAGGACAAAAACAAAATGGCTGTTACATAAGATGGTAGATTAAATATGATGGTAGATAAAAAATATGGCTGATCTTTTTTTCTGAATAGTTCTATATTATATTCTATCGAAATAATTCGAAATGAAATTTCTTTTGGCGTTTTTAAAAAAAATAACAACATGGAACAGTATTTTCTAGTTTAAAGGTTAAGGTTGTTTAAAATATACATATTTTATTTTATTCTTTGTATATGTTTTTTTATGACCCTAAGTCACTACTTTCAAAGTCCTTCTACCTATTATGCATTGTAAATTTTCTCTTATATGAGATAACAAAGTTAATATCTCGTCATTGGTTCTTAGATTTAGGATGGTCAGACATATTTTACAAGATTTTATTTAACTTGCAATGTTTGTATACCTATACCTATAATATTTGTTCGGGTCGGATCTTGCAACTAAACTTGAAAGCAGTTATTACTCAACCGATTGAGCTGAAATTTTGCACACACGTTTAGTTTAGATGACAATTGACAACGCATGGTTAGACGAGTGACGTCATTCCAAATCCAACATGGCGGACTCCTAACGATGGCGGCCTGTGCTTTTTTAAGTACCCCCATAACATGGATATCAAATGAAACGGTTTGCTGAGAAGAATACGAATAAATATATAAAAAATTCAAAATAAACTCTAAATTATATCAAATTTATTTATTACACCATTTATCTAACTAATAAGTAATATTATAAAGAGGTAAAGTTTGTGAGTTTGTGACGTTGTAGGGGGTAGTCTCTGGATCTACATTTGTATAGGAATCCAAGCGAAGTGAGGGTGAGTCGCTAGTTTGCAATAAAGCATTCGAAACGTCACAAATCAGAAATGCAAAAACCGTATCAAAACCCAAAAACAATTTCATTTAAAGTGGCAAACTGAAGGATAGAGTACACAACATTTTCATATGAACATATACCGCAAAGTTGCAGTAGGACAAAAAATAATTATAGAAATATAATGACGTAATTGCGGTCAGGCTGCCGCTCACCCATAAACAAACCAATGTATATTTATGTAATACTATCGTATCACCCTCGCTTCGTTTTCGGTTCGTCCCTAGACAAAAAAAAACTATCCCACGGGAACCGTACAGTTTTCCGGGATTATATATAACCTACAACTTTTCTCAATAAACGGGCTATCTAATGCAAAAAGATTTTTTCAAATCAGATTCGTAGTTCCTGAGATTAGCGCGTTCAAACAAACAAACAAATAAACTCGTGCCTTTTTATAATATTAGTATAGATATTGCATACCAAAATTATTTCATAAGCATTTGGCGGACTGACAAAGAGACAAAAATATCAGTGATGGTATAAGGGTTCCATTTTTTTATTTTTTTCCTTTTAAAACACGCCAGCCCTAATTACATGTATATTTTTATTTTTTTTTATTTTTTTTATTTAATTCATTTTACATCCAATTAAAACGGCGGCGCACTTACACTAACTAGATTATACATTATAAATTATTACAAAAATAAAATACACAAAACAAACTAAAGTAAATACTACTTGGGTTCTGAGAGCATGTATCATTGTATATGCCTCTCACCATAACCTCAAAACATGGGCCTAGCCCCACTATCACAAAAAACACAAGAACAAATCCAGACAACTATAAATATTTGAATGTTACATACATACATCATCCATGGAGTCGAATCAAACGAAGGAAACGATATACATACATAGAAGGCATCAAATAAAGATACACCGATTTAAATATTAAAGTAATTATTTCACCGTTATGGACGTAAACACCTTCCGGTAAATTTCTAAGAAATAAATTAAATTTCTAATGCCCGATTTCACCAACGTCACCTAAGTTTAAGGGATCCCCTAAGCATGGTTAGGGGGCTGTTAGGGGACAATTTCTGTTTCACCGACAGTTAGGGATCACTTAAATATTAAAAGGCCCCCTAAATTTAGGTGCTCGAAATATGGGCTTAAAGACGATGGTAAAACAAAATTTAATTTAGGGGCTAGTTTAGGGGAAATTTAAGCTAGGGATCCCATACGTAGGTGGTAGCTTATGAGTTGTTAGTGAAATCGGGCATAAGAAATCTATTGTTAACTGACACGCCGGCGTGTCCGCGGTCGTGGAGGGTTTATGTTATATTATATGAATCACCATCATTGATGCAGATATTCATTAAATCTACAATCAAGAATTTCAATTCTACCACGAAAAATAGAAAAAATAATTCAAGAGATATATTATATACATAATATGTTTTTATAACACGTTTGGTTCAGTTTGTGGTGAGTCGTTAATTTTAAATATAGTAGATAAATCTACACTAATATTATAAAGCGGAAAGATTTGTTTGCTTGTACCGAATATGCTCCGAAACTACTAAACCGATTTAGATGAAATTTGGTAAGAAGATAGTTTGAGACCCTGGAAAGGACATACGATACTTTTTATCCCGGAAATCATCCCTTAAGGGGGTGAAAATGTGGATGAAAGTTTGTATTGGGAAGCAAGCTAGGGACGAACTCAAACGAAGCGAGGGTGAGTCGCTAGCACTTTAATATAAGGAAATCAAACTTGAGTCGACTATGCTTAAGTCCCACTATCTGTGTCCCGACTTCTGATTTAGTACTCGTAAGTGTTAATTCTGTAGTAATGTCTTGATATTATGGGCGTACCGACAGCAGGCGGACAAGCGAGACATATCTAGACTTTTCTGTATCTATACTATAGAAGTACCTGTTGTTTTTGACCAACTTCAAAGAGAGTGAGGTACACAAATTCCGTTGTACGTGTTTTATAAATAAATAATAAATATGTTGGGACATTAACACACAGCACCATCTAGTTCTATGGTAATCTACGAGGCTTGTGTTATGGATACCAGATAGTTGATACACTACACATATATAACATTAAATACATACATATTATAAATATAAACATCCACGAGTGGAGTACAAGCATTCGTGCTCAACACACAAATGAATGCCCCCAGCGGGACTCGAACCCGCGACCGCTGGCACATCAATTAGGGTCACTACAAACTGAGCCAAACGTGTCACCTTTATTATTTTGAAGATCTTCATAGATTGCGTACACATTGAACTAGAAGGTTTATGGATTTTACGATGTTATTAAGGATACCTACTGTGTTTTCCGATACCGTAATAATCGATTTCCAGTTACACGTACGTACATATATTTTAAAGACGTGCTCTAAGCACTAATTACTTTACTTAACCGTAAAATGTTTAAGCCGATGGCAATAATATAATTTAACGATTCTATTATCTTTATGTTAATTTACAATTGTGTAGATAATTGACGATTGCATCGAAATATATATATATATATATATATATATATATATATATATATATATATATATATAGGTTATTTATATATGAAAATCAATTGCTGTTCGTTAGTCTCGCTAAAACTTAAAAACGGCTGGACCGATTTGAATATTTCTTTTTTTTTTTGCCTTGTTGGGGGGTGTGTAAGAGTGGTTTAAGTATAAAAAAATAGGGGAAAAACAAAAAAAATGCTAAAAATTCGAAAATTGCAGAACTGGTTATTTTGTACCTATGTATAAGTATCTATACTAATATATAATATTATAAAGAGGAAAGATTTGTTTGTTTGTACCGAATAGGCTCTAAAACTACTGAACCGATTTAGATGAAATTTGGTAAGAAGATATTTTGAGACCCTGGGAAGGACATAGGATATTTTTTGTCCAAGAAATCATCCCTTACGGGCTTGAAAATGGGGACAAAGTTTGTATTGGGAAGCAAGCTAGGGACGAACCCGAGCGAAGCGATGGTGAGTCACTAGTATAATATATACTCTCTCTGTTTCATACTAACTGTTAAAACGTACCTTAGGATGAACCCGAGTGGAGCGAGGGTCAATCGCTAGTTAATAATATTTTTTAACTTTGACGTTTAAAAACTTAAAAACCCATGTGGTGATATTTTCCAAGCATGTACCTACGTAGTTTTTGTTGCTACTCGATGTACTGTTTGAAGCATTTAAAAATTTCAATCTTTCAATGATTTGATATTAAATGCTTAATATAAAAGTTACTAAAATCCAACCTAGAGTTGTATTGTCATTACCTTGTGTGTCTCCGGACTATGACTCTACATTTTTAGAAAGTCTCCAACAATAAGGGAGTGGAGTAGAATTATAATTAATTTTATTTATTACTAGCGTGATTCTTTAAATTGACATAACTTTTTTGTTTATTTACGGATTGAAATAAAACAAATAATAAATGTTAAGTGAAGCTTACCACAATACATTGGTGAAAACCGCACCCAAATCGGTTAAGCCGTTTCCGAGATTACCGCGCACAAACGTATAGACAAACAGACAAAAAAAATCATTGTATTTCAAATATCTTCCATGTACATACAGCGATCAGTTACAATTTTATATACGTATAGAAGATATGGATTTATTGGTCACGAATTATATATTGAACCAATATCACGTAGAATGCAGTAAAAGACAAGAAAATGGAGGATTACAATAGAAAACAATTGAAAGTTAAGTACCTACTTTGGTGCCATTTTTGTTTTTTTTTTATTTTTTGAATTCATTTTGTTATTTTGGGGGTAGGCTGTCTGTAACAACTATATAATGCCTTTGAGACATCTAAAACCTCAGTCTCTCCCGTGACCATAATTGCTGTAAAGCATTCGAAACGTCGGGAACCAAAAATCAAAATAAAACCCGTAAAATAATTCGAAAAGATAGTTTTATTTAAAACGAACGGGTACATTAAATATTGATTCTGACCATTTCTAGACGTATCAGATAAGCGCAGGCGATAACTGCAATCTATCAACATATATACATACGTACGTATCTGTTCCATAAACATTAGAGAGATAAAGAGAGTTAGGATGTGGAGGGTAAACTCTGAAAATATCAACGCGTACCTAAAATGCTTTCTCAGATTTACTTTCGTTTGT